TTAATTAATTAATTAATTCTAACAGGCCTATTTTCGGAGCATTACAGTATTGTTGACTATAGTAAAACATAGCAATATCATCATGGGTGATCAACAACAAAGCACCAAAAAATGGGGGTATGAGCAATGGATAACCAAAGAGAGTGATGCACTGTGGAACAAAGGATACTTCCTGTTCTTAATTAAAAACTTGGGTGTCACCATAACTATCTCAATTACCAAAGTAGATTGAAGTGGTTTAAAAATAAATGGAACTTTTATTCAAAACTCATGCGTTTTAGCTCTGGTTTTGGATTCGATTCTACTACAAAGAGGTTCACTACAACTAATGAAGCATGGGATGGTTATTTTAAGATAAGCTTCCTTAGAACTAAATGAAAAAGTATTCTAATAAATGACACTTTTGAAAGATCTAATGCAATAACAAATTTTTGATTTATGTTTTTTGTATAGGCTCACCCAAAGGATAACACTGAATTACGCTATGGAACATTTTGGGATTATGAGGACTCAAAAATTGCAATTGGAAATGTTTTAGCTGTTGAAAAAAAACTCAATCGGGTTGGGTAGTACTACTAATGGAAGAACATTAAATGTTGGAGAAGGTAGAGATGTGCACATAGAAGACCTTGATTATGACGTGGAAAATGATAATTCATCAGCCAACCTCAAAGTGATCCACCTATTCACTCCACATCACCGCTTCAATTTCAAAGTCATGAGGTTCTCATGCAAAAAACAGCCCAAACCAAAATAAATAGAAGTGCTTATGTAGAAAATGGCGTTATGGAAATGCTAAATGAAATATTCACTACTTTTCAAAGAATCTATAACCTGCTAGAGAAAAGAGAAAGAGAGAGAGAGAATATATAATATGAGATGCCACCAAGGATACACCAAACTTAGATGAGGATACCAAGTTTAAAGCAGTTGAGTTGCTTGACACCAAGGAAAAAAGGCGTGTTCTTGAAGATGTCACCTGAAAAGGGCTAAGTTGGATACGTCACAAAAAGAGAGGATAAAATGATAAGATGGATGAAAGAGTTACGTGACTTTATTTTAAATGTTTTATGTAGTGACTTTATTTTGTTTGCGAGTTTAGAATATTACGTATTGGTTTTTAAAGTAATTTTAAAATATGTTTGGCTTACATTGTTGTTATATGTTGGTGTTGAGCTCAATATATTATTTTATGCTAATAAATTTATGATAATACTCCATCCGTTACACAAAATCCTTCCAGTTTTGACTTTGGGGAATAATGTTTGGATAGAATAATGTATATTGACTTTGGATAGAATAATGTATGAATTTTTAAAATAACTCAAATTTAAATATAAATAATTTATGAATTATAAACACTCTATCAGAATCTTATAAAATCCTGCTGATAAAATAAATTAAAATCTATCTAACTCTACACAGACTTGAAATAGTCCTATTGATTTTACAAAATCAATGGATTCTAAACAATCTATCAAAAATCTTTTAAAATCTGGATTGAATACAGCCTCTTAAGACATTTACCTGATTGGCTTTATATGAACTATATTCACCATAATTGTCTATCTTGGGAAAGTTTTCTTTGTAGAGATGAATTCTATGTCAGAAAGATAAAATACTTTTCTTTGATATTTTCATGTTAAACATGTTGAGAATCTTGTCAACATATGAGATTTGAGATAGGGCTAAGAGCATTGGCAGTGGTGAGGCAAATGCCTGCCACGCCATGCCACATCAGTTTTGCCATGCTTGAATGCTCCATTCCTCCATGCAATGCATGTCTTGTACGAGGCGGTCTTTTTTTGTAGAAAAAAAAACTTTTTTTTAAAAAAATGAAGTGCATATATTTTTATGAAAAAAAAAGATGAGTAACTTTTTTTTAATTAAAATATGTCACAAAAGTGTAAAAAACGACAAAAATAATTACTTGTCACTGAATGACATGCCACCCCACCCACTCGCCACACGGTGACTGGACTTTTTTTGATTGGTTGAAATGTTCCACGTCACCGTGTTACATTCCATTTTTTTACTTGTCATTGCCAATGCTCTAATGTTATATTCTTCCAATCTCGGAAAAGCTAAATTTTTAGGGCAAGTGTGCCTCACTTAATAATAATAATAATAATAATAATAATAATACCCGGAGTAGTAGTAGTACTAATAATAATAATAATAATAATAATAAATATAAAACAAGGTGAGTATATAGTCTAACTCGCTATACACTTGAGTCTAACCCAATATACTACGGTACTAATCAATTTCTAAAAGGAAAAGTAAAAGAGTATAAACTTCACTTTGGGATACTCTAAAAGAGAAAAATATTTTCTTTGTACCAATGTATTTGTTCAAATTGATTTTTTAAACTTAAATTAGATGAATTTTGAGCTTCAGTTAAATATAAACTAGATAATGTATATTTGTATACAAATAATTTTATTCAATTTATCTTGTTATGGACTATCAAAATTATATTCCATTATACTACTCCGTAATATGCAATACATACTCCGATTACTCCCTCTGTCCCTAAAAGATTACCACAGTTTGACTTTTTTAATCAAATGGTAATACCCTTTAATCACGAATTAAATATAGTTTAAAATAATAAAATATTACTCCCTCTGTCCTAAAACTTTCTTCCCAGAACACTATTCCAACTTCACGGGAATTTATATTTATTTGTGTTTTTTCATGGCCTATATGATAAAATAAAATATTCTTGTCACTACTTGTTTTGTTGAACTTTTGATGTAGTTTTTAAATATGTATGTTGTATTTTTTATTTCTATACCAATATTTAAATAAAATAGATTGAAAAAACTTGGGATTTTTCTTCATTTTGCGCAACGGGAAGAAAGTTTTAGGACGGAGGGAGTATAAAAATTTAATATTTCAAAACTATACTTTAAAATAAACCCAATTATACTAAATTTACATTATAACTAACTATACTTTTTCTATAATTCGTGGTCAAAGAGTATCACAATTTGATAAAAAAAATCGAACTCTAACAATCTTTTAGGATGTGTTTGGTTGGGGGGGAAGGGAAGGGAGGGGAGGGATGGAAAGGAATGGGGAGGGAAGGGAAGGGTTCCATTTACTTTGTTTGGTTGAGGAAAGGGAAGGGAAGGTTTCATGATACTTTGTTTGGTTGGAGAGAAGAGGGGAGGGAATAAAATGAATTTAACACATCTTATCCATAATTTTAACAAACATAATTTGGCTATAATTGTAATATAAAATGTAAATGAAAACGTATTCCTAAATATGAATATGAGAAAAAATAAAATCATATTCATTGCAAAAATTGGATTGTCACTAATAAAAATCTATTCTTATTCTAATAAAATTTATTCTTACTCTAATATCCAATAACATGCAAAAAAACATAGTACTAAGTATTTTGAGCATATCCAAAAACATTTGAAGTATATTGAAATAAAATGACGTGTTAGAGCGAAGCATAATACATCTTCATTATCACTTGCTTCCTAATTGAGACCGGAGATTGGACTGCAGTCCTGAGCTTTTCATCATCACTCATAAGAAAGCAATATATGTCTGGTATTTTGTTAGCATCACACCCACATTCTTCGAGTATTCTGCATAGTTCTTCACCAGACAATTGAGGCACTTCTCTCTTGCTGTTCGAAGCTCTCTGTAAAACCAAATTTCCTTGTATAATTGCTTCATTGCCTTTGTCTAGTGATGCCACCATTGCATAAATTGCTCCTGTCAATTCTTTGAAGCTTTCAGGTTCTCGAGGTGCCTTTTTTAGCTTCTTGCTGGAGGCATTGTTAACATAATTAGAATGACCATCTTCAGGTGAAGCTCGTTGCCTAGGTGAGTAATCTTCAACAAATATGTCACTATTAAGATCAATATCGTGAATAGTCCCCATAGCATCCCCTGAAGAACGATGTCTCTTCTTCCACTCTTGCATTGTCTCCCCCTCATCTCCATTAGCTCTATTTACTCCATATAATATCATCATCTTTTCAAAGTTTGGAAAAGGAGTGTTTCTCCAATCAGCTGCTTTAGGTTTAGCCTAATAAGAAAAAATGCAATAAGCACAAAAAGATATATTTTTTTACATAATAAGAATGTAAATTGAAAAAAAATACCTTAATCAAAGCATCCCAAACTTCAGGCTCAGCATCCCACAAATGAGTTATTGGATTCCATGCGAATCCACTCAAATTCTTGAAAACATCATACACATCAGCGAAGTTTTTTTCAAAGTCTTCCATCGATTCTTCACCTTTTCTTTATCAATTTTCTTACCAAATATTGAACTAACATATTTCACAATATTATCATAAGCTACAGATGAAAAAGTGCCATTAACTTTGCGACCTTCATTATATCCAACCATGTAAGCATCAATCAAGGCATCATCCATGCTTGGCGTCCAGGTGACTGTGTCCTTACAATTTTTTGGTGCCATCCTATCACATAATACAATAGTATAACAAGTAATAAGACAAAGTTATTTACAAGGGTGCACTTGCAGACCAAGTTAGATACAAAGGCAAACACGTGCAAACCAAGCTAAGTAATATGAAATCACAAGTAATATAAATCAAACAAGTAATATGTTTAGTACAAGAAATATAAAAATAAACATGGAGCTCATTTTGAAACATATGATGAGATAAAAGCAAATGAGATGTGTAAAAACATTTCTTAATACAATTCAACTTTAAGCATCAAGCTTATTCTCAATAGCGGCCTCATTGTTCTGGTAATCGATCCACATTTGAGTTGCTATGTGCTCTCTAATAGCTTCACCTTCTGATGCCTCGCTACTTTGACCACTTGAAGCATGAATTGTTTCATTCGAAGCATCTTGGTTAAGAAGCTCCATATCAACTTCTCTCAATATTTCATCATTAGGGTCAACACTCATAAGAAAGTTATGAAGAATGATGCATGCATATATTATCATTTTTTGTACTTTTATCCCATATGTAGGCTCTGTTCCATTGGATAAGATAACAAATCTTTTCTTCAATACACCAAAAGCTCGTTCAATGGCGTTACGCAACTTTGAATGTCGAAGGTTAAATAACTCTTTATAATTTAATGGCGGATTTCTCCTGGAATACTCTTTCAAATGATAGCGGACTCCTCGATAAGGTGTTATTAGTCCTCTTGTTAACATGAACCCAGCATCCACGAGATAATATTTACCTATCATGCATGATGACAATTACTACAATGACTTTTAAATCTCTAACTAACATAAAAACCACACTAAATTTAAATATAAAAAATACCTTCGGGGATTTTAAGCTTATCTTCCCTCCTTAATGCATTTTTAATAATCCTTGAGTCTGATGCAGTGCCTTCCCAACCCGGGAGAATGTATGTGAACTTTAAATCAAATGTACATCCCGCTAACACATTTTGGGTGGGGAATTCTTTCCTACCGCGATATCGCGGAGCATCAATTGAAGATACCTTGACACGTATATGTGTTCCATCTATAGCACCGACACAATCTTTAAAATATGGAAAAAATTTCTCATTTTGAATTTCAAGAGAACGGTACTGCCATCTGGTTGCTTAACAAATTTTTCTCCCAACGCAATGATACCCACCAACACTGTATGAAAATGGCGACTAATTGTCTCACCCGAACGTCTAAACCAAAAATTTACTTCATGATTTTTAGCATTATGCGTTAATATGTAAAGAGATTTTGCAACTTGTTCTTCCACACTAGACCAAATTGTTGGTTTTACCTGATGGAGAGCCGATGAAGAAGGAGGCTTGAGAGGGAGGATGATAGAGATGGCGCTGAAGGAGGAGGCTTCTATTGCGAGAGAAGAAAGGCTAGAAGCAGCTTTTCCGTATGATAAAAGGAAGCAGTTTCGGCTAAAAAATAAACATTTCCTCCCGATTCGGAGGGAACGAAAATAAGGGGAGGGGAGGGAATTTGAGTCAAAATTTTAGGGTTCCTTCCCTCCATAATTTTAGAACCAAATAAGGGGAGGGATTTATTTTCCATCCCCTCCCCTCCCTTTCCCCCCAACCAAACACAGCCAATGCTGTAGCACGATTCCAAAATCACAATCCCTCTTCTCCCAATTCGATTCTCTCACGTTATTAGAGTATTTTATTGCTTTTTACCATCCATTTTCAAAACAAAACATAACATAACATAAAACACAAACCTTTTTTTTATAAGCTCAATGTTTTGTTTTACAACAATGAACAAGCACGAAAGTACGCGTATGTATCGGCAAAAATATATACAAATACATGTTTTTAATTACACAAAAAAAAACAACGAAAGCATCAGGTTTAGAAAGATATGTCTGAATGGGAAGACTTAGGAAACTTAGATCCGTGCTCTGGTGCAAGATTCTCAGAAGCAGCCCTCTTGGGTCTCATCTAAAACAGAACATAACAGTGGAATCAAAATGGAATGGAATAATACACAATATAAACATCCATTATATTACAACAACAAAAGAAAAACTATCACAACTCAGGCATAATAGGTACTAACCTTCTCGGCGCCATGTTGGTACAAGTGTCTTATAAATATGTTTTTGGGTTCTGAACAAATAACTGCAAATTTGAAGCCACTCCATCAGACTTTAGAAGCTACTCTACAAACATAAAAGTCTTAAAACTCAAATAGAATTGTCAAAAAGGTCGGTCATGTCACGGTCAATACATTCAATTTTGGGTCGGGAGATGATTAATCATGACCTAGTGTGTCAGGGTTTAGGTTGACTCAAGTCACTCAACGGTTGGGACTTGGGAGTGCTAAAAAGACTAAACCACCATCAAAACAGTATTACAAGACCGTTAGAAAAGAAAATAGTTTACATTAACATGGAGTGTGAAGAATAATGATATCTCCACAAAAAAGTAAACTTGTGTGATACAAACCTTTTGCAACAAGACTATTGATTACAAGGAGAGAAAGCTTGATGGACAAGGCAAGGTGGAAAGTAGTTAAAACACCCAAGATCAAGAATTACTTATTCTATGTTGGTTATATAGGGCATTGTTCTTTTCGCCTTAATTTTTAATGGAGTCTGGTAACAACTTGAGTCTAGAGTCTGAATGCAGTAGTAATGTTAACAAAAATATGGATGCTTAAGTTCTGATAACTAATTTACTAAAGTCTGGAGTCCAGTAACTGGAATCTGGATATCTGGAATATAAGTTGAAAAGAACAAGCACATATTTAATTGCCAAAATATTTGTGTTTTTGTAGTAATTATTAACCATTTAAGTCTAACCAAATATCCTTCCCTCAATTTATGTTGGCATTAGTGATAGATTTTGCTCAGCAGGGATGCTTTGTGCAGCAGACTACCGACTACCCTTTATTGAGATAGCTGCATTAACCCAAAGATGGAATCATAACTAAATCATTTATAACTTAATTAAATAGAATATGAGTGTAATCTGTTGAGTGGTCTTTTGGGTCTTCCCCCTCAAAACTAAAAAGAATATGAAACCCAATTACGCATATAGGTTGAACTATGGAGGAAGAAGTATGATTATATGGATTGTGGTCATGTTCTTTCCTAGAAAATTATAAAACCCAATACAGATGGGATATAGGAGCCCACAAAGAGGAAGAGGGAAGAGAAACTGAATATGACCATGCTAGGAACCCACCATGGGTGCTCCCACGGATACCAATCACGGATGATTTATACATACACAAACGATAATCATCTGTGTTCACAAACAATTATCGTCCGCGTATGTATAAATAATCTGTAATTGTCATCCGTGGGGGCACCCGTGGTGGGTTCTGAGCATTTTTGAACTGAATAACAATATACATAGCCCTTCCTTAGAGGCTTTGTTTGTTATAAATATGAGAAGTGTGATATTGAAAACTATAACAGTTTACTGAAACTAAACATCATAAAATGTAAGAGGGGAGAGATATGGCTACAGATTAATAAAGCCATAACACTTAACATTACCTTGATCCGGTGATGGTAGAGTCCGATCATGTGTAGGACAGTAAGTTGCTGGTGTTATTCTCTAAACACAAACAAAAGCAAAGTTTTATAGTGACAAGTGGAATGGACAATCAAGCAGTCTACCATTTAATCTCAAGATACAAGACACGGGAAAAAAGGTGGCATACTTGTTCTTACAATTGCAATCAACTTCATGTAACCAAAAAAACCCTAGGCACTAAAACCTGGTACATTTTGGGAAGAAGTGTTATCTGCACTCTCGTGCTAGCTATAAGAACTTGCTTTTTATTGTTCATTGATTTTACTGGCACATACTTTGCATGTGCATTGTGCACGATCACATCCCCAAGGCGCTAGACCAAAGCCTAGCCTTGTCTAGCACCTAGGCGTGCTGGATTTCTCAGGGCCTGGGTTGCCTTAGGCCTAAATAAATTTTAGGCCCTGTCCTCGCGTCTAAGCAGGGACTTTTTAGAATATTGTAATGTGTTTAATTAAGGCTTTGTTTGGGAACAACATTTTCAATAAACATTAACATTTTGGATAACTTAACATTTTAGATAATTTAATGGTGAAGATTAACTTTGAAAACATAAAGCTAAACACTGTCATTGTATACCCTTTTCAAAACGCTAAAGTTGTTGCCAAACAAGCACTAACACCGAGTTCACTGCCTAACTAGGTGCCAATGAACTTTCAATTCTAACCACTTGACCAGTGCGTAAAACTGTGTTTGCAGCAAACTCTTCATGTTCGAAAATAAAATCTAACTCTTCACCACATTTCATTACCGAAATAGCAAGTATACTTCGGTATAGATTTCCACCTTCTTTTCAAGAGTAATAAGAACAAATTTAGAGCAGAGAAAAGCATTACAATCTACTCCGTGCATACGAATCAGAAAACTGAGAAAAGAATTACTCCCTCCGTCCCAAAAAAATGAATTTTACACTTTCCTATTTCGATTGCACCAAAATAAAGTTCACATTTCCTTATCTCATATTCTCATCTACCTCCAACACAAATTTACCTTTTCAAAGGTTTTAAACTCCATGAAGTTAAACTTCATTTCGGGACGGAGGGGAGTACAGCACACACAAAACGGATCAATAAGTTCAGAATCCAAAGAAGAAAACGACAGATGAAAAGGTTAAAGAGTTAAAATTTGGCGGAGCTCACGGAGGGGGCAGATGGATCGGAAGGCCGGAGCTGTGTGAAGTTGTGAGGGTCAAAAGACGGCCAGTCACCGAACACTGAACCCATTGATGGAGCAACGGTGGGCGGCGCAGCCCCAGAAACGGATTGAAGATTGGTTGAAGACGACGGAAAGCTGATGCTGAGTTTGCTAACCAATGTCATTAGAACAGGCCTACTCCCTCCTAAAACTTTCTTTCCGTTACTCAAAACGAGAAAAATCGCAAGTTCTATTTTATTTAAATATTGGTATAGAAATAAAAAATAAAAATACATATTTAAAAAATACATCAAAAGTTCAACAAAACAAGTAGTGACAAGAATATTTTATTTTATCATATAGGCCATGAAAAAACACAAATAAATATAAATTTCCGTGAAGTTGGAATAGTGCTATGGGAAAAAAGTTTTAGGACGGAGGGAGTAATATATATACTCCCTCCTTCCCAAAATATTCACAACACTTATTTGATAAAATAAAATATTCTTGACACCTCTTATTTCGAAGAACTTTTCATATTGTTTTTTGATATTTAAATTTTATTTTTTTATTTCTATACCAATATGTAAATAAAATGAATTGAAAAAACTTGATATTTTATCTCGGGAATACAAATGTGGCAAATATTTAGGGACGGAGGAAGTATATATGTTACTCCTTATAAAAATATAATATTTTAAAATAATGTTACAAAATAAATATACTGATATTAAATTTATATTCCATACGTCTCAAGTTAAATTTTCTATTTACTATTCACAGAGTTAAACTTCATTCATTTTTTTCTCTATTTTTGTTAGTAATTTGATAAAATAATATAGTCATGTAAATAGGACTAAAACATAGAAAAAAGTATCAAAATAGGAGTTTCATGTTTTTATTCTTGCAATTAGGGGTGGACACGATACCGATACAGTACCGTTACCGACGCCGGTACCGCCGGTTCTGCCACCGTGACCGGCGACAGACACGGTTGGCTGGTTCCGGGAACTGGTACCGAAACCAAACTGCACGGTACCGGTGCTAATTTTTCGATACTGGCACCAGCGGTACCGGTAGCGGTTCCAGTACCATTTTGGATTTTTTTCTTCCTATTGCTGACAAACTGACAGCTGTGGGCTACGTGGAGCCTCACCCAACGGCCATAATGCCGTTTGAGTGAAGGGGGAGGGGGTTGGGGGGTTTAACTATTATAAAAAGGAAAAAAGATCAAAGTAGGACTAAAACATTGAAAATATACCAAAACATGACTTTCATATTTTTATTTTCGAAATAGGACTTAAAATGCATTTATATTACTAAACATGGTCATTTATTATTACCAAAAGGTATAGTAATGTGTACATGAATAGTACCACATTACAACCACATTACCACAATGCGAAGTTCTATTCGAAAAAAAACATAAAAGTCCAATTTTGGTATTTTTCTCTATGTTTAATCCTATTTATGGTGATTTCTATTATAAAAATACGCCCATTTTTTTTAAAAAATATCACTCTCACATTCTCTATTGTCTCTCTCTTTGTACATTTTATATTCATATAATAATATATATTATATAATATATAAGTATATACTCATATTAAATTTTTAGTCATATATTCATATACTACTAATATATTATATTATTATAAATTAATATTATAATTTCAAAATTCAAATATATTATATAAATAATATTTTAAATATCTAATATAGTCCTTTTTTATCAATATAAAAATATATTAAAATGTCGAAAAGAGTCTGATAGAAGGTCTGTCGATACGAACGTAGTGGACCGAGGTTCGAGGAAAATCAAAACTAAAGCCAGCTTCGAAAGTTCGAGCTCACGTGGTTATCAAAAGAGATACTCCGTCTCTTCCCCCCTTCCCACATCAATTCATGGGCGACCTTATGACAGATCAAGAATTTTGAACAATATTTGAGAGGTAGGACGGACGCCAATCTTCAAACTCTTGAAGATATGTTCATGTGTTACTCATTTTGGATGACTATTTTTTCTCTCACGTTCCTCAAGCATTTTTATTGGTCATTTTCATTTCTCATCCACATTTGACTCTAACTAGATCTAGGTTAAGGTTTCACTTTTTTGTTTACTCCTTTTTTTTAGTTTAATTTACCTAAATAGGACTAAAACATAATGATTTTCTCAATATATGACCATATGTTTTTATTTCCCAATATAGGACCATTGGTCATTATTATTTAGTCATTATTCAAGTAAATGTCCTCCATCAATGTATATTATTTCTTCCCCTAGACATTATTAAGTCTTATTTAGAGAATGAAAAAGTTTAAGTTCTACATTGAGAAATAAGAATGACTTATGTTTTAGTCCTATTTAGTGCAAATTTTTCTTTTTTTTACTCTCTCGATTTTCAGTTTTGATTGAGTCCAAAAAATTGGATGGAAGATGAAGTGATTCGGTCGTTACGTTGGAAATTGAATTGCAAAAATGAATTGAAGATGGAAAAAAGAAACTATGACCCCCAGATGATGAGAGCACTAGAAATACGTTTGAGTTTGAAGCCCCGGAGCTTCAAACATTATCTCTCTGCCACGTCAGCTTTAACTTACACCAAAAATTTACTGGAAATGGGTTTGAAACCCCGGGACTTCAAATTGGGCTTCAAAACTTCATTTTTTACATTTTTAAATATACATCTTCTAAATTTAAATTAATAAATTTAAATTAATTTATAATTTAAATTAATCGCAATGAGACTAGTGCATTAAAAAAATTACATTCATTAAAAAAAATATTACATTCATAAAAAATACATTCATAAAAAAGGTTACATTAATTAAAAAAAATATTACATCCATAAAAAAACAATACTACAAAGAAATTACTAATTTTTGAGCGACTAAAAATATATTCATTCAAATCCGAGTTGTAGTATCATATTCCAAACTGAAATAATTTATTAAATAAAAAATATAGTCAATAAAAAAAGTATGTTAAATTTAATAAAAAACAAAAAAATTTACATTACTAAAAAAAATTTAAACAAAAAAATATTACATTAAACAACAAAATATAGAGTAAAAAAAATTATGTTTGTGTATATTTTTTTTAAAGAGAGAGTGAGGTAGGCTTTGAAGCCCGTTAAAGGTTTGAAGTAGAAGAAATTAAGCCCGTATGAAGCCCCAAGGGGGTGGTGTTTGCTGCCCCTTTGGCGTTAAAAGGGGTAATAACGCCTCAGGCGTTACGCCCATTACCAGTGCTCTGAGAGTGTTTTTGAATTTTTGGACAAAATTACGACCCCGGGATGTTGTCATCCTCCCCTCGTCCCAATGTATTTATCTACTATTAATTTTTTTTCAATTAAAATAAATAAACTTTGAAAACAAATTAAATAAAAATGACATTAAATATTACTCGGGTAATACAAATATAATTTTAGTAGATTTATATACGGAGTATATAACATCATTCTTCTTCTATGGATTAAGCTATGTGTACCCATCATTTATATCCCAATTTGTACCCTGCTGGTTTGCACCAACATTTTGTGTTGGTGTAAAACTAATTTTTATTAACGCACTAACACTTTGTGTCCGTGTAAATTTTTGTTAACGCACCAACACTTGTGTCAGTGTAAACCATCAAAATGTTTGTGCATAACTGTAGTGTACAAATGAGGTACATTTTTGTGTGTAAGTGTAACATGGTCCATCTTCTATATCTGACAGCCTACTGGGGGGAGGAAATTGAAGAAGTAGTTTAGCACAGAATGGGGTTTTTCTTAGTTGGCTTAGTTTGCAATGATTGTACAATGCTTTGGACGGGTGATGAATGAATGGAAGTGCATTTTGTTAAAAAAAATAGTTTTATTAGATTTACTATATAAAATATTTTCAAAATATTATTTTACTTAATTAATATAAAATATACTCCTTCTGTCCTAAAACTTTCTTCTCGTTGCGCAAAACGAAGAAAAATCCCAAGTTTTTTTCAATCTATTTTATTTAAATATTGGTATAGAAATAAAAAATAAAACATACATATTTAAAAACCACATTAAAAGTTCAACAAAACAAGTAGTGACAAGAATATTTTATTTTATCATATAGGTCATGAAAAAACACAAATAAATATAAATTCCCGTGAAGTTGGAATAGTGCTCTGGGAAGAAAATTTTAGGACGGAGGGAGTATATTTTATTTAATTACGGAGTATAAGTCAAAGATTGAGAGCAAAAAAGTCAAAACTGGACAAATACTCCGGGACAGATGTAGTGTAGTACTTATTAGGGAGTATTCCGTATTTTTATGTTCAATGTCTACAAGTATCGCAAATTAATCTGGTGGCCTCATATCTATGTTTATCAAAATAAGACGTAGTAATTAAAAAGATCGAATTTGTATTTTTTTATTAACTTTTTGCATCGGCCGTTCCCTCGCAATTAAAGTAGCCTTAATGGGTAGCCGTAAAAATTAAAGTAGTTGAGATATATTCGATTAGATTTAAGAAAAGTGACGATAATTTTGTTTAATTTAGCCCAAATTAAGATGTTTAATGGAACAAATGAGATACGAAATTAGAAAATTTTACAACACAGAAGAAGTACTTGTTAAAGTTTTTTATGTATTTTTATAAGATTTAGTTTATATTATTTTTTGTTTTTAGACCTATTTAAAATTAAAATAATTTTGAAAATAGTTGTCCATACTCTGAATATTTAGAGTAACACCCACTCTAGAATGGGAGTGGGAATATAGAGGTCCCCAGGCTAGATTAAGGGGCTGTTTGTTTCAGCCTCTTAATGGTTCAAATGTCTGAATGTTTCAGCATTTAATGGTTCAGACTGTTTGTTTCAGCCTCTTAATGGTTCAGATGTCTGAATGGTTAAGAGATTTGGCTCTGAATGGTTAAGTATTATACAGAGTCTGAATGGTTAAGACATCTTATCTGAATTGATCAGACATTTGCCTCTGAATAGTTAAGCAATATACTAGCTCTTAATAGTTCAGACCTCTTACTGGTTCAGCACTTAATGGTTCAGACCTCTTACTGCTTCAGCACTTACCTATTCAGAAGTTGTCAAACAGCCCCTAAATATGAAAAAGATTATTTCCAGGTAAAGATGTATGTACTATGTACTCTCTCCATTTGTCTCGTAGTACATCACCATTCAATATTTTGCTTTAATAGTACCCACCTTAACTCATTCCACAATCAATACTCTCTATCCAGCCATGATAAAAACTCTACCTTAAGGAAAGTTTTAATGACTCCGCTTTCATTAAGATTTGTAGGTTCTCTCCGACTAGCGTTTGTCTTGGCCAAAAAGCTCTACGAACCGTTCGTCTTCCGATCACCGATGTCTAATTTATTTTTATTTCTTCCTTTCTTAAACCGAACATATTCAAAACTTCGGATTATTTTTCTATATTTTCTTCCACGCTATAATCTTTTACTCCTTCCGTCTCCTAAACTCCTTCCCCTTTCTTTTTTTTTCTTGTCCCACTAATTCTCCTTATCTATTAAAAAATTATTTTTACCTTTTATTTTTTCATACCCTACCTATTACGGAATATATCAAAAAATGGGGTAATAAGTACGTTATCTAAATCAATCGTGCTATGGGTACACCACTTTGTACCCCAGTGGTGTACCCCATATACCCCCACCCTACATACGACTAAATCACACCCAACCCCACCCCCAAACCTTTGTTTTGTCTCTCTCCTCTCTCCTCTCTCACCCACCCATTCTTTTCCCCCTTTTTTCTTCTCATTGCGCGCGGAAAAAAATCCCAGCATCATCGGCGTGTTAGCATAATCGGAGAAAGGGAACTAGTGCGACGGCTAGTTAGCATCATTGAAGAAAGGGAACACGAAGAGCAAGGAACCAAGGCGCGATAATTGAAGAACGATGACCCAAGGCCGATGCATTTCCAAGTAAAATTTCAGATTCAAAGTTTAACTACGGGAGAATGTATGAAGCTACGCCGACATCTCCTATTATCGCAGGTGATTATTTATTATTGCACTATCACTATATGTTTGTGTTATGTTACAGTTTAGTTAAGTTTAGTTATGAACAGGTAGAAAGAGTTGGTTCATTGAAAAGACTTTTTACCCCTGGATCCTTAGACTTTAAAGAAGTGTTGGTTATGGTTAATTTACTAGCAATAATTTCAGAAACATTCTCTGCATAACATTAGACATAAGATTCTTATTAAATTGAAAGATGTTGTTGGGAATTTATTATATGCTTTTAGTTATGATTTGGACCAGCAATTAGGAGTGTGCAAGGAGATACGCTGTAGGTTTGACCTAGTTGGGCATTTATTATCTGCTTTCAGGTGTAATTGTTTTGCACCAACAATTATGTCAGTGTAATAAGGCAGTATGTAGGTATCACTTACGAATAATGTCAGGTTGGAACATAATTCTTTGGTTTTAGTTTTATTTGTTTTGCCCCAGAACTTATGTCTGTGCAATGAGGTAGGATGTGGGTTTAACCTACAGTAATTGTAAGGTTGGGCAGTTATCCTCTCATTTCAGTTATGTGTTGCACCAGCAAAATATATCTGTGCAATGTGGAAGACTGTAGCTTTCACCATCAATACATGTCTGTGCAATATGTTAGCATGATTAAAGTTGTATTTTTTACTTGCAGGCATTTTAGAGGGAAATGACAACTTGGATGTCGGAAGTAGTTTCATGAGTATATTTGAAAACGACAGTAGTAAGTAATGACATGCATATATTGAGCGTGACCATTAATTTATATGAGTTCTAAAGTAATTTTGTAGATGGCGTACTAATCCAAAATGATGTAGAAGTCCTTCCAGAGACGTATATTCTCAGTAGATGGCGGCGAGATATCAAGAGGACTTACACAGTTGTTCGGATGGAATATGATGGATTGCCCCGTACAGTTGAGCAAAGGCGGTATGACATGCTTTGTGCAAAGTTCCAAGAATTGGCCCAGATCGCAGCTGATGATGAGGAACGCACAAAAGATATTGTGGCTTGGATCGATAAAGAACTGCTTATCCCATCTCTGAGAAAGGCAAGTGACGAACGTATTCCTGAGAACATGGAATTAGACAACACTTTGACCAAAGCTATATTGGACCCTACTTATTCGAAACGAAAAGGGGCCCCCAAGAAAAATAGGCTAAAATCTGTTTTCGAGACAAAAAACAGGAAACGAAAGCAAGACAAGAAGATTCAAGATGATCACGGTAGGAACAATAGTAGTGAACAACGTACGGTGAACAAGAGCAAGCGGGGAAACCCTGAAAAGCCATCCACAACCCTTTTTACAAGCGTTGTTGACATAGGTAGAGAAAATTTGCCTACGCGGGAATGGCCGGGAGAAGATGGTGTCTATGACCTAACTTGCCCAAATATTGATCTCAGGCTATGAATCTCTAGACGGGCCATCTTTTTTTGTTAAGATTTTGTTATGCATTTGCTCACACATTTTTTGGATTGTTCCCATTCACTAGGGGGTGACTTGAATGGCTAGAGGATTGCGGTGTACTTTGACCTTCATAGCCATTGTTGGATTGATGTAAGGGCTTAGACAGTACCGAGATTTCTAAGTGGTTTTGTGTGTCCTCTTCTTTTTCTTCTTTAACAACACATCTACTTTCTTAGAAAGCGTTTCTATCTTGACTTCAAGCTCTCCAAACTTTGCATCCATAACCTCTCTCATATGTGCCACCTCTGAAACAAGATGATGTATCGCATACTCCTGCAAAAGAATAGTACATTAAATAAATCTAAGTCACTACCACCAGGTATTTAAATTAAGGAAGATATATGCACATGTATCACCAACCAGTTTCTTTGATATGTCTTCCTCATGCTTGCCAAGAATTAGCTCTTTTAGTTGGTTATATGGAGGGAACTTTTTTGACCCCCATTTTAGAAATGGACAACCAACTATTTCTTCATGAAAGTCTGCAAAAACTCCTTTAAGTTGTGGGAATTGCTCATAAGCCCACACCTAAAAGTATTACGAAAATATTAATAATTATTATTTAAGCAAATGAAGTACATAAAATAGTGTAAAAGATTTATACTTCGGACATACTCACTTGCAACACATAGGGAAAACCATAGAAAGAGAATTTACATGTCTTCATATTTGGGTTTTCAGCTAGCTTTGACAAGAAACGAGCTGGTTGCCCCTCCATAGCTGCCTTCAGATGGCGTACTGTGAGAAGGTATGACTCCCACCCCCATGGATAAGCGTTGAACTTGTCAACGCTACCTAGGAGGTGAGGGTGAGACATGTCAACACCGGTCCCCTTGTCTCTAGCTAGTAACACAGACTCCACAAAAAACAGCTTAGCAAACTGAAGGACTTCATCACCCCCATTTTTTGCATCAAGAGCATGAAAACATTTGCACACATGCGCAAATGTTGTTTTCCCCTTATCATTTCCCAAAAGTTTTTTCCGAATTATCCCCGAGGCTGAATCGTCACCCTCAGCACCACCATCCTCTCCATAAACCTTGGTAGAGGGCATTCCAATTATGCGGCACCATTCCCCGAAATCACATTTTAATATCGAACCACTTATGTTGAAACGTAGTTCATCATCTAGCTACCTGTTCTCTTGTGAGGTGCACGAGCAACAGATGTATGAGTTGGCCCGAGAATTGCAATGGAGGGGACTCAAGAAGGTGGCCAAAAGGGGACTCTGTCTTGTAGCGATCCAGGTCTGAAGGTGTGAGTTTCTTTTTGATGATGTCAACTGATTTTTGAAGCTTGGAATAACATGTATACTGTGCTTGGAAGTGGTCTGCATTAACCATTTGCAACGCCATTGCACACAAACCTACATTTCAAACAAAAAACAAGACAATGTAATACCAAAATTGGGACTGGGCAAATACTAATGTAAGCATAACATACTAAATTGGGAAGAAAATAGACCATTGCTCAGGCATTCACATAAAGTACTATACTTCAAGAAATTTGGGAAGAAACTATTGGTGTGAATCTACTGTACACCATTGCACATGCATTTACATAAACTACTATACTTCAAGAAATTTTTAAATTATAAACAAGAATCAACAATTGCCCAGGCATATCTGAATTTCGCAGCAAATAAGGAGAAAATAACATAGCTTTGCATTTAGGGTTTCACTAATGTAAATAGGTGCAATTGAAAAAGGATGAGCAATTACCTACAAGGCAGACCACCGCCGGCAGCAGAGACGAGGGTAGAGATGACGGTAAGCGAGGACGAGGAGGACACAATCCCCGACGGCAGAGACGAGGAGGCCAGAGACGAGGATGCCAGACGAGGAGGCAGAGACGAGGAGGGCAGAGGCGAAACCACCGGCGGCGGTCGACGACGAACCGTACACCGAAAGATGGAAGGAAACGTGGGAGACAAAGTTCAGATGCAGAGGATTTAGGTGAGGGAAATCCTTCGGTGGGGGGGGGGGGGTTTACTTGCACATGTGGTGGGTACTTGCACGTGTAGGGTGGGGGTATTTTATAGTGGGGTACAAATTGGGGTAATTTTGGGGCGCAAGTAGCATTATCCAATTTTCATGATAAGCATGGCCTTGGAGTAGATTGGTGAAGGGTTAAAAAGTCCTAGTCGCATATTAAATAGAGAGTAAAAAAATGGAATGATGGGTGTGAGGTGTTCTAGCACTGCCCCTCATTGGAACGTAACCCATATGTGGGGGTGGCGGTAACTCAACTGTTCATTTACCCCACTGCCGAGAAAAAAAAGAAGAATTGTGCTATTTGTGCCCCAATTTGTACACTGTACTTTCATTTTATGTTAGTGTAATATTAGATAGATAATTTACACAAATACACAATGTTAATGTAAATTTTTGTTAAATAAACCATCATAGTTTTGACAAAATTTAAAAATAAAAGATTTAATAGACAAATCTAGGATATTTTTTAAATTCTTATCATTGAAGGGACGATTTAAAGAGGGCCGGTGACTAAAGAGTGGATGGTCACACCATTAGATAGATGACATCCAATTCTATTGAGATACCATAAATAGATTACAATTTTTTTTTCTCTTCTCTCGATAACTTTTGTTTGTTTACTCGATTTCATTAAGTATTTGATAAAATAAAATATTCTTGTCACCTCTTCTTTTGTAAAAAATTTTGACGTAGTTTTTTAATATTTAATATCTAATTAATATACCAATTTGTAAATAAAATGATTTCAAAAAATAAAAAAATTTCATTTCGTAACCCGCAATTTCTAATCTATCTAGAGAGTAAAAGACTATGAAGTAGGGATGTAAACAAATCAAATATTTTAAATTCCATTCGCGATTTGTATTTGAATATGATGATTCGAATTCGCGTTATTCAAATACAAATTCAAATTCAAATATTATTTTGAATTCGTCTCATATTCAAATTCGGATTCGTATTCGAAAAAACTAAAAAATAAAAATTCAAATATATCGGTATTCGCTTCGATTCGATTCGTTTACACTCCTAGTATGAAGTATGGGTGTGATATTTGAGGTTAAAAACTCTATCCCACATCCTGATATCTAATCTTTTTTATCCAATCAGAGCCTTTCTTTAGATTCTTTCCCCCCGCTACTCAATCCCTTCCCTTATCTTCTTCTTCTTCTTCTTCTTCTTCTTCTGCCTTTACTTAACTTTCAAATACTCCCCCATTTATTCTCTCCCAACATCCCCAAGTCCCCAACACAAAGAAACCGCCGTCCTCCTCCTTCTTCCTCAAAAAACCCGCCACCCCGCCTGCACCCCCCACGAGCGCCGCGCTGAACTTCCGGCAGGCCAACGAGGAGACGCGCCGCCTGCTCATCGCGCTCGCCGGAGACGCCGCGCAGGTACTTGTTCTTCCCGGAAGTCCAGTTCATCCCCGCGCCAGATCTGCGCCGGATCGACTCCCCGTGGCGCAAATACAGCGACGTGCTTCCCTTCTCAGGTTCGTACCATGTCTGTGATCTCGCTTTGCATTTCTCTTTTCTCGGGTTTCTTGTTTTGGGTTTGAAAAGAAAAGAGATTTCTTGGTTTGAAAATCCAATTGGGTTGGGTTATTATTGCCGTTCTTGTTTAATTATAAATTTGTTACTCAGTAATAAATAATTAATTAACCAAATTGTTATTTTGAAAAAGAACTGACAGTTTGCATAATTAATAATAATAACATTTTATTGTTATATTTTTTGTGAATAATTTGCTTCTTTGAAATAATTTTTTGATCATTTTATGTTATATTTATAAAAAAAAGAATTTACGTATATAAAACTAAAACATAATGACTTTTACTAAATAGTACTACATGTGTTTTTTTTCCAATGTATCATTTTAGTCATTATTAAATGTTTGTCATTACTGGTTATTATGTATATTATTAAATTCTATTTAGGAAATAAAACAATTAAAGTGTTATTTAGAGAAATGACTTAAGTTTTAATGTTATTTAGAACAAATATTTCTTATAACAAATCTGCCACTAGTGACCTTCTAGCTCCGCCACTGGATTTGGGGTTCTGGGTTTCAACCATGGTGGATTTTTATGACTCGGCTTTTCTTGTTTTTTTTAACTCGTGTGTGTGTTTGGTTTTTTGGAAGCTTTTCTGGTTTTATGTGGAATGATGTGTAGTCTGTGTGATGTAAGGTCTGTTTTTTTGCTTGCATGTTTGCTTTACTTTGATAATGGTTCGTGTTTTGGTCATTCAAGATGAAACAAACGCAAGATTGTGCAGTTAATTTCATTTCTATAGCTATAGGGTTGTGTGCCCGTGTTTTAATTGATGCATTTAATTTTAAATTTTGAATTTAGATGTTTCTTTAAATTAGGTTTTCTGTTTAGTTTTTTTTAAATTGATGCTCAACCTCATTCATCACATGTATAATACCATCATATGTATTAATTGATGCTCAATCTCATTTCAGATTCAATTGATGAGGAAGATGATGATGTTTTCTTCAAAATCAACCTCTCCATGCATCACCGCGCACAAGGGTGCGGGTGGGACAGAGTGTGCAACTGCCTGCCTGTCGGCCTACTCCATAAACGCAACCGTCTCGGCCAGCCACTAGGTAAGACATTGTGCATGGAACGAGTGGGAATACGGTTGGAACATTGGTAGCTCCTCACCGAGGTCGATCTCCTCCAAGCAAACTACGCAACTGTCCGTCACGTCTCCCGCAGCTGGATCGAAGGTGCAGCGCGGGAGACCTGCCACCAACGCCGAAGACACTCGCTGCGTAGTGGCGGCGACCACCATCTCGCGACGCGTCCGGCAACGGTGGAGCACGAGAGAGCAAACGAACCAAAAGACGATGGTGGCAATCACGCCAATCAACACAATGCCGGTAAGCCTGTCGGAGGATGAGGTCTCAGGCTCGGTGAAGGCCCTGGAATATATGGAATCACCGTCTGACATTGGTAGCTGATGAGTCGGCGGGGTAGCTGACCACTAATGTCGGACGGCGATTCCATAGATTCTAGGGCTTTCACCGAGCATAAGACCTCATCCTCCGACAGGCTTACCGGCATTGTGTTGATTGGCGTGATTGCTGCTATCGTCTTTTGGTTTGTCTGCTATCTCGTGCTCTACCATCGTCGAACGCGTTGCGAAACGGTGGTCGCCGCCACTACGCGACAAGTGTCTTTGGCGTTGGTGGCAGGTCTCTTGAGCTGCACCTTCGATCCAGCTGCGGGAGACGTGACGGACAATTGCGTAGTTTGCTTGGAGGAGTTCGAGCTAGGGCAAGACGAAAACCTGGAGCTTATTTTCATTCATTTTATTGAAGAGGGTTATATCAAAGTGGGTAGTGTAGTTGATTTTTTGTGTGTAAAGATCTGAATTTAGACAAAAAAATGATAGATTTTGGGAATCTATGGTATGAGATCGAAACTACTTCCAAACGCATGAGATATTTGAGAAGATATAACTCGGAGATTCTTAGATAAAAGAAAAAATTATAATTCAAATATTGGCATGTTTGCATACGTTTTAGCAGAGAGTAAAGCCTAGCTGATGTGTAGACGAAGAGGTAGTAGTTGAATTTGATGATGTTGATGAACTTTGTGAGGAAATAGGCGTTTGAGAGAACATTGTGAAAATACATTATTATCCTTCATTTAACAGCACTGAAATGGAATTTCGGACGCAAAATGGAATCGTACCCAATTAATAAGGATTGTAAAAATAATGTTTGCTAAATGAGGACTAAATATGAAAACTCCCTAGTTATAAAAGATTATTTAAAGAATTTACTCAAAAAAAATTCAATTCAAAGCATTCCAAATCCAAACACAAATAGCTCTGCACCTGTGATTTGTCTAAGGTATTAACATTGATGGAAAATATCCTAACAGAGGAGTAAATTTTACAAACACCGAGTGTGCATGCACATACTATTCACAAATCACAATCAAAGTATTGGAAAAAAACTTGTAAGAAATGAAGATGAACAAGGTAAGAAATTTACCTTCAGAACTTTTACAAACACCGGCTGAGCTCGCAAAAGAAAACACAACCATAGGGAGGTGAAACCATCTTTGAGGGTAACAGCAGTCTAATAATAACAAAATAAATAGACCAAAAGTAGCAATAGCAATTAAAGGCCTCTTTGGGATTAGCTATTAGCGTTAGCGTTTTGAAAAGGTTATTGACGGACAGCGTTTAGCGTTAGCGTTTTCAAAGCAATCTACACCGTTAAAATTTTATCCAAAACGCTAACGCTATTCCCAAAAGGGCCCTAGGTCTGCTGCCCCAAAATATATGTAGCAAAAGAGTTGTCCCAAATTAGTTCAGACTTCAATTTAAATGAAAAGGAAACTAATTAATCTTCAATCCAAAACACGTTAAACCACAAAAATAACATGCCTGCTACTGAGCAAAAAAAACTTTGACTGGTTCAAGCATAAACAACAACAGGGTAAAAGTTATTAGACCATCAACGAATATTACTTATGATTACAACATGTTTAATGTATGAACTCTCAAGTTCATTAAACTGAATAAAAGTGTATGTTATTAGAATAATCAAGCAATTGTATGTTAACCTGAGTTGTTTCTTCTAATTGAATTGGAATAATCAAGCAAGAAATAAAGGTAAAGTTTATTAGAGAATGCAATGGAAATTTATCATCAAACACAGTTAAAAGTGCAAAATGGCAATTAGGTCATGTTAAGCAATGTCAAATGGAAAATCAATTTATGAACGTGAGCCTTTCGGCCCATATGATAACTGATATTTATACTACACGCCATGATAAAAGTAACCTACAGAACCGATCTGTGTCTCCCGAAATGCAAAACAAAACCTAATTAACTATGCATCGTTGTAAATGGGCACACCTCACAACTGTTACACAAAAGAGTACGTCCCGCCAACACGAACAAACTAAATGCAAGGACAACTGATCAGACAACATTTTAAAAAATCGAATATAATAGATTATTACCAAAACGCCCAAGGACAACACCATCCATAGAATCGAAACACCAGGGCATTGTGTTTAGGGGTCAATTTAGTAAGTTCAATACGACCCATGAAACCATCACTTTAGCCAATCTGTGTTTTCTTGGGTTTCCCAGTCTGATTTTCCATATCCACATCAAAGATGCTCATTTAGCTATAAGCAAGTTCAATTTTTTGTAATGTGTGGTACGTGTACAACTGTACACCAACATGGTGGGCATCAAATGCCTCCAAGTGTGCGCAAATGTTTCCAAATTTTTGTTGTTTAATTCATCCTTACTTTTTTTATATATATTTTGAAAATGACCGTTTGTCAGGAGCCAAGATAATACTCCTATCCGTTTCTCAAAACGGTTCCTCTTTTGACTTTGGAGAAAAATAAGGAAAATGTAATTTTAGTTGACTTTCCAATTTTGTCTTTGATGTGATGGGTAAAAGTAAGATGTGATAATTTAGTTATTAGTGAAAAAGTATGATGTGATAGGTAGGGTATGAAAAAGTAGGGGTAAAAATGATTTTTTAATAGAAAAGGGAAGTGTTTTAAGAAAAACAAAAAAAATGAAAGAGGAAGGGTTTTAAGAAACGGAGGGAGTAGTCATCTATTTTTTAAAGACTAAAAACATATTTAATCTTTTGGGTTTATTATTTCTTACTCTATATATTAAAAAAGTTTCGAATTACTTTAACAACTAATTTGGAGAAATAACATGTCATTTCACATTTTGTTGTTGTTGACACTATTCCAACTCATATGATCGATCAATTAAGTTCTTTTGTCAAAAATATTATGATTTGGCCAAACCATTATGATCGGAATGGGAATCTCAAAATTGTGTGGATTAAAGATTCAACATTATAATTCTCGTATAAGTCTCTGGCCTCCTTCTCTCACCAGACTATGAAATCCCGAACCGTCTCTCCTTGGTGAATGCATATGTTGAGGAGGTGGAGTAGGGTAACCTTTGCCTGCGGTTGGCCGCGAAGTGAGTTAAGAATTTCTCTGCAAAGGTATCTTAGTCGTCAATGGTTCCATTTGCAATCGGTTGAACCAGTCGCACGCCGAGCCCTTTTGCGCGGTGAGAAAACACCGACATTTTACCTCGTAAGGCGCGGACGCCACTTCCATAGAGGCGTAAAACTTCGAGAGGTGGTCTTGCGGATCCATCATTCCGATATAGGCTTTAATATGCCAAGGCCGGAAATTCGCTGGCAGCGGCACCGACATGATCCTGAGCTTAGTGTGAAAGGGGTGATCGTCATCAGGATCGGTTGCCTATAGGGCTTGTTGGTCTCCACCCAGTGCTTGAGCTCGGCAACCTCCCGCGCGAAGCGAGACGTACCGTGCTCCAAGCCTGTCCTTGTGGGGCTCCGACGATGGTGGGTTCGCTCGTCCCGTCGTCCGTCGGCACGCTTGGGCCTGCTCGAACGTGCGTCTAAGGTAAACCAGCACATATTCATAACAATTTAATTTTTTTCTTTTTTACCCTATTACAAAAAAACTAGTTGGGGCCATTTGTCCCCCTACTCCATTGAACTAGATCTGCCCCTGCTTGTGGTCTAACGACATCACGGTTAGTCTTCGATATGGAAGGTCACAAGTTCGAACCTCAATATGGCAGTAACCCTATGTGTTTTAATATGCTGAGAATGTATAAATACATATTATATTATAATCAATGATGGATCGAGACTGAAAATTCATTGAGGGCACTAACATTTTTTGCAATATGTAATATGGTCATAAATAGTAATGTAAAATATATTATTGAATTACTAAAAAATACCAAGAAACAAAGTTAATAGCGCCCGCCTAAAAGATGGTCAAACATCCATGCTAGTATGAGCCCATTTTTTTCAGGTGCCCAAAGTTGTACTAGACGGTTCCCATGACATTGTCGGACAATGTCATGGGATGACTCGAGGGCGCTCTGGTGCCCCATTCGTAGAATTGATGATACTTATTCCCTCTAACCTCCCAGTAAATCCCCCGGCCCGGCCCGATCCGAATAGACTCCCACCCCCTTCAATTGCACCCGACAAGTTGATTTTGACCTTGAAGTCAAATATTGACTTCAAAGTCAAAATTAACTTGTGGGGGGCAATTGAAGGGGGTGGGGAGTGTATTCGGGTCGGAGCGTGGGGGGGGGGGGGATATTTATCAGGAGGGTTAGGGAGTGATGGTGTAAATTATCAACCGGTATATCGTTTTTAGCCGGGCAAAAACGATAAACTCGTCTAAAAAATACACCAAAACTAGTGTTAACCCCGTGCTTCGCACGGGCTTGTATATATTCTAAATTTTTGAGATTCTATAAATATAATTATAGTTGTTTTAGTTTTCTAATAATGAAAAAATATATTTTAAGTTGGTGGAATATATATTGGTATGTTAATTTAAAAACAAACAAATTTTACAAAATTAATGGTCCTTGAATTATGTACTAATAAAAAAAGTTTTAGTTAATAAAATATTTTTATAAAAAGTGGATTAATTACATAAGGATACATCATTAGAGAATGTATATGTGTCATAATGTCACTTGTCAATTGTCATCCTTCAATTAAGCCAATTTTATTCTATTTACTTTGTTAAAAAATATATGTAGAAATAAAATAAATAATGTAATAAGATAAAATTTTTGAAACAAAGTATTTAATTAATAAATAGTATGCATATGTGATTACATTTATATAATCATATTTTGTAAAGTAATAAACTAAAATAAGTTGTGGATAGTATAACAATAATTATATATATAATATGTATTATATTTTACATTGGTGAAACATATATTTATAGAGTTATTAAAAATGAAAAAGTTTTATACAAATATTTTCAAAGATATTTTAAAAAAATCTAAATGGACCAATGAATTAAAATGATATATCCACCTCATTAGTGGATGCACATGTGGCATGCCACATGTCAACACTACTACAAATGAACTCTACTTTACATATATATAAGATATAAGATAAGATAAGATAAGATATAAGATAAGATATATAAGATATAAGATATAAGATAAGATAAGATATAAGATAAGATATATAAGATATAAGATAAGATATAAGATATAAGATATATAAGATAAGATAAGATAAGATATAAGATATAAGATAAGATATATAAGATAAGATAAGATATAAAATAAGATATAAGATATATAAGATAAGATATACTTCCTCCGTTCTATAAAAGTGTTCCTATTTTGGCTTTGCGTAAAAATAAGGAAGTGTTAAATTGTAGTTGACTTCCAATTTTGCCCTTGATATGATAGGTAAAAGTAAGATTTGATGGATTGAGTATTAGAGAAAAAGTATGATGTGATAGATGAGGTATGAAAAAGTAAGGGTAAAAGTGGTTTTTTAATAGAAAGTGGTAGTGTTTTGTTGGAAGTAAAAAAATGAAAGAGGAATAGTTTTTGAGAACGGAGGGAGTAAGATATAAGATAAGATATAAAAACAAGGATTTTGACGTGGAAACCCATATCGGGAGAAAACCACGAGCCTTTTTTTGGCGGTACCTTGCAACGGGGAATTTTTGTTAATATCGGGGGTTGTACACGACCCATGATTTGGGCATGGAAACCATTAATGGAAGCTTAAAAATTTATTGAAGAACAAAAATACAAGAATTCTAGAGAGAAAGTAATTTGAGAGGGATAGTGGTGAGAGGAGAGAGCCCCCTAACATGGGCAAACCCTGTTTTTATAGGGGAGGAGGGAGAACATATTGGGGGAATATTCTTTTATTCCCACATTTTATTAAACAAGCCCGCTTTGATTTTCCCTCGTAAATAATTGGAAAATGTGGGCCGAACTACGTACTATTTCCCATCAAAGAGGTTGGAACTGTCAATTTTACGAACGGGGCACCGGAGTGCTCCCGGGTCATCCAATGGCATGGGGTTCCAATGTCATGGGAACCCCACCGTTGTATAATATATATAAACTCCAAAACCTTAAAAATATTTAATTTCAATATATATATTTGTCATTTAAACAAAATTACTTTAAATATAATGTTCAAACCAATAAAGTTATTTTATACCGATACAATTTGATTCTTTAGAACTGACCGTGAAAATTAGCATTGCAATCTTTAGGTTTAAACATATTACGGAGTAATTAATAATGACATTATTCAGAGTTACTTCTTAAAAGAGTTCCTTCTAATAAGATGTTTTTTTTAAATTAGCTTTCAATAAACAATAATTACTTGCGTGATGGCGGATCCGTTCCTCTAGCAGCCACCCACTTAATTCGAAAGAATTATTTTGAAGACCTATTCATACTTTAGATGATAGGAAATACCAAAATATCCTTCATTTAACTCTCACTCAATATGTATTTTTCTCAGAGAACTATTTAAAAAAAACATCTCAATTACAAAGGACTATGTTGATAATTATTATTTATTGAGGATTAATTTGAAAAAAAACACCTAATTAGAAATGATGGTTTTGGAAATTCACTCTCTTATTTATACACTTTTTTTTACTATGGTCATAGATGGTCATGCGAGTGAGGGGTGGGCGTTCATCGATTCAATTTTGATGTACGTGAGCTACGTAGTACAATACTCCATAATTAATAAAACCCTAATTAAAAAACAATTTTTTTCAAATGAAAATTCAATAAAAAAGAACTTTAAGAATAATGTGAAAGTATTCTGGATCAATAATGATTAATAAGAATATTTAATATGTTTAATAATCGTTATAGATCCAGAATGCTTTTACATTATTATAAAAATCTATTTACACAAAGTAGATTAACAATAGCTTTGAGCTCCATTATATTATTCATGTTTCTTAACCCGGTTTTCTCCGGTGCGGGAATTGGGGAGCACGCAATTTTGGGTGCACGTTTGTTTACGAATGAGGTCCGTACAAGTGTTATTTCTTTTATGTTCTCATTTTATTACCTGTAGATGAATTGGATGGTAAAACCAGTTGCAATATTTGCTGCTTCTGGACTTGGCTTATTCTAACTCTGTGTTGAATACTATGCTCTATTTATTACCTTTCTATGTCTCGTGGAAGAATTGTTGCTCTAAGGAGTAGATTAGATTTTGGTGTAAAAATTCTCATAATGTACATAGATTTTCATCTTAGCATTTGAGTTCTATGGATTTGAAAAGTTTTACACTGTGTTTGGTTCAAGGAATTGAAAAGAATATAATTTTCCCAGTTTCCTCGTCAAAAAGAGAGGAACTTGGTTTTCCCTCATCTTAATACATTTGGTTTCTCATTTTTTTTTCCTTTCACTTTTCTTTTCTTTTTTCCTCTCTAACCAAACAAGAAAAATGTTTTCCTTCTCATTTTCTTTTCATTTCTCTCTCAAATTCCTTGAACCAAACATAGTGTTAATGTATGCTTTCCCTTGTTAACCACGATTCTCGGGATCTAACAGCTTTCTTTTGCAAAATGAGTATATCTAAATCATACTTGAACTCAATTTTCTCAACACGACACAACTAGAGGATTCGAAGGGTAAGAGATTGATCTTCTGAGTGAGTTTTCCTTGGTGAGAAGTTGTTCTTCAACTTTTTAGGGGCATGGGTTGCGTTGATTTATCAATTATTCTTTAGTTACCTGCAACATCTCTTTCTATTGCAGAAATTCAAGTAGCAAACCTATGTTTGAAATCACCTGTGAGCCATACACTTTCATAACTTCTTACATTTCCAATGGAATGCAATGAATAGATTTTATGCTCATGTGGCGCAACTCTAATTAGTGGTGAAAAACTGTATTATGATCTTGAAGTTCGATAGTCACTTTAAACAAGTCTCCAATCCTTGGTATTATGAATTGGTGATTTCTTTATTTCCTTTTATTTGCTAATGAGAATAATTTTTATTTCCTCTTAGTTAATTTCCTTTCTCTTAGTTGATTTTGCCTATTCAATTTGTTTTCCTTAGCTTCCATCACTTTTTAAATTTATTTTTGTTAGTTATTTGAAAAAAATAATATAATCATCATCTCATCTTTTATTTTGTAGAACTTTTGATGTAGTTTTTAAATGTATAATTTTTATATTTTAATTTTACACCTACAATCAAATAAATTCAATTGAAAATAATATTTGTCACAGATCATACACCGAACTAGGAAAAAAAATTAAGACGGAGAGAGTTTAATATTTTCTTTCCATCATCTACGATGGAGTCAAAAATTTACCGTTTTTAAGCTTTGTGGTGTGATGGAATAAAATAAAATGGATCTCTGAACTATGTGCGCTTCATTAACTAATTAATGAAATATCATTTAATCAATAAATGCATTTTCAACGCTGAACCTTGGGTCTTTTTGGAAATAGCCCAGAATTCAATTGAATTGTTGTTGATTATTATTATATTTTTCTTAAAAGAAAAAAAGAAAATGAAAAATGTGTATGCACAGCAATCAATTACTCCGATTATGAAAAAATAGGGTTAACAAAAAATTAAATGTGAAATGAAACTTCTTCGCCGTAAAGGGGTTCGAACCCCTGATGTCTTGGCCAGTTTTGGTACCGATCCCCGCTGTTCTGCCGCCGTCGCTGGTCCGGCTGTCAGAACCGCCAATACCGCTTTCGGTATTGGTTCGGAGCTGGATATGAGTCCAAGTATAATGTGACATTAGAAATCCACATAAGACTCACTCAGTGATGAGTCATCCATAGCCTTTCAATTATAAATTATATAAACTCAGGAAAGAAAATCTCCTTTTTTTAAATATCATGACGTGGCCAAAATTAAATATCACTTTTAATTTTCTTCCTTTTTTTGCAGGTTATAGGTGGGCGTCAGCAGCAGGGTTTTTTGCAGGAGGACCGTTGGACAGCAAAACCAAAAAAAATAATAATTTCGGTACCAGAACCAGAACCGATACCGAAAAAATGGTACCTTAACCGGTACCGTAGGTGGCGATGCCGGTACCAGTTCCCTGGAACCGTTGTGGCGGGTTGGTAGGCGGTGCCGGTACGGGTACGGACACCGTGTCCACCCTAGTGACATTAGAAATCCACGTAACACTCACTCAGTGATGAGTCATCCATAGCCTTTCAATTATAAATTAGTATAATAAAGGCGATAGAGAAAATCTCCTTCTTTTTTTTTAAATTTCATGACGTGGAATTTTCATCGCCTCGCCAAAACGCATCATCTATTTAAATGCATGCCAGTCGTAACGCTCCAATTCCCGCACAAAAATGACTTCTCCTGCCCAAGCATTCGGCTTTGACATTCAAACTTTTGCTTTTTTCACATTCTCAACACTCTTCTTCTTCTCCACCTTGTGGCTGTATTATTATCACGGGAACTCGCGCAAGCAGTTGCCGCCGGGGCCGCCGGGATTCCCGGTGGTCGGATACCTGCCGTTCCTCCGCCGGAATCTACACCACCAGCTCACCGATCTCGCAGCCAAGTACGGCCCGATCTTCAAGCTCCGGCTGGGGACCCGGCTGTGCGTGGTGGTGAGCTCGCCGTCCACCGCGAGCAAGACGCGACATTCTCGAACCGCGACCCGACGGCGGCGGCTCTGATCGCCACGTACGGCGGCCGCGACATCGCCTGGGCGCCGATGGGCGGTTACTGGCGTGAGGCCCGGAAGATATTCGTCCGCGAGATGCTGAGCAGCGGCAACATTCGGGCTTGCCGCGAGCACCGCAGATCGGAGGTCAGAAAGGCGATCGGAGATCTGAGATCCAGAGCGGGCGAGTCCGTCGATGTCGGAGAATTGGCTTATCGGACTGAAATGAATGTGGTGACGAGGATGATTTTGGGATCTGATAGGGTTGGGGACGAGTTCAGGAAGATAATGGGGAAATTTATTGCTTCAATTGGGGAGCCAAATGTGTCCGATTTCTTCCCATGGCTGGCTAGGTTTGATCTGCAGGGGAAGCAGAGGAAGATGAGGGATTTAGTGAAGCTTGTGGGAAATACTCTTGACCCAATCATTGAAGAAGGTTTGAAGATTGTTTCTGAGAAATCTCAGGTTGCGGGGAAGGATGAATTCGAGGAGAAGAAACATTTTCTGCAGATTCTCTTGGAGCTCAAGGATGGTGAAGCTGGCAAATTGTTGGATTTTGATGCAATCAAGGCCATCTTGCAGGTAATGGTTTGAGTCCTCCTTTGGTCCCACTATTTTTTTTACTCTATTTGTTCATTTCACTATTTGTGTATCATAGTTCCTTCCAAATTTAGTAAGGGCTTTCATTCTTATTTTCAAAACTTTCTATTCGCAATAGGCAATAGGGTATAGAGTGGTAGTGTAAAATCAATTTTACACTATCAATAATGTTTTACACACCCAATTTTCAATAACTATTCCAATCATATCTTCTATATAATACACTTTTTTAATTTATTATTATTATTCTAAGTTATTTATTCATAATACTTATTTTAATTCATAGTTTAATTATTAGAATGGAGAATGTCACTTACAAATAAAATTACAATATATAAAAGAAATAGAAATAACTCACAATAAATGAAGAAATGAATTAAAAAAAGGACGAAATTGAGAAGAAGATAGGGAAATTAAAAAAAGAGAAAAAAGGATGAGCAATAGTGACCTTGTAGAAATAGGAGGTGGGAGTGGTATTTTGCACTATAGTGCATTTTACCATTGGATATACACAATCCATTGGAGAGAAATAATATGAATACTAAATGGCATAAAGTGTATATTTAAGCATATACACTATGCGCTGTAGTTGCTCTTAGAGCACCAAGCAGCGGCGTGGAGATGCATTCCCACGCCATGTAACCTCAGTCTATTTGGTTATTTGCCATGCGTGGTGGTAGAATTTCTCCTTCATTCCCGTGTCATCTGCGAGCCTTCTCTTATCCCTATTTTTCTTTTTTTTTCTTTTTTTTCATTTTTTGGTAAGAGAGACTTTTTGAATAATTTTTTAAGGAAATACTCCATATATAACCGATTTTATGATAAAATAAATAAAAATAATAATTCCAAATAATCAAAATATTTAAAAAAAAGTAAAAGTGAGAAAAAATTATTGTTATTTTATTTGTTTGCATAAAAAAAAGTTTTTTTAAAAAAAGTAGAGGTATTTTTATAAAATAAAATAAAATAAATACTTTAGAGTTAATAGAAATATTTTTTATGATAAAATAAACAGGTTAAATAACTTCAAATAATTCAAATATGGGAAAAAATAAAAAAAGAATAATAAAAACGACTTGCCACTGCAGAGTATACCACTCCACTCCCTTGCCACTCGTTGACTGGACATTTTTTTATTGGTTGAAATATTCTAGGTCAGCATGTGGCATTCCATTTTTGTCTCACCATTGCTCATGCTCTTAGTACATTCGTACACACTATAGAGTAGAGCGTACTTCCTCTCAAATTATTTTTTTATTATGGTCAAATAGCTCTAGAGCTGGTGTAGTTTAGAAAATAGGTATCAATACTTCCCGTTTTCAAAACTTATTTTTAAAATTTCTGTGGTTTCAAAATGTTATCCACTTTAAAAATAAGTTTTAAAAATAGGGAGGTATTGGCGTCTATTTTTCAAGCCATGGGTGACATAGGTGCTATTTTTAAATCAGATCGATCTACTACTACTACTACTACTACTACTACTACTACTACTACTACTACTACTACTACTACTACTACTACTACTACTACTACTAAATTTGTGATGGTGCTTACCAGGGCCGGCCCAATAACCGGGCCCATGTTGTAAGGGCCCAATTATTTTTAATATTATATGTAATGTACGGAGTATATAAGAAGCCCAGCAACCAGCCCAAATATTTCAAAAGCCCATCTCATTAGCCGCCCCATCCCTTCATATTCGTAGACAATTGACGCGAGGCGCAGAAGAAGCTGGAGACGAAGCCTACTGCCGAAACCCAATCCGAAAGAGAGTGCCGACTGCTGAGAACGCCGCCGGTAGAGAGACGCCGCTGCCGCCATACGCCGCTGCACCCTCCAGGTATTCCGTACTCACTATCTTTCCAACTGGTAATTTTTTTTCTAATTTTTTTTCTTTCATTGTTTCATTCTTTGGATTTAAAATCTAGTGTTAATTATTAATTTTTAGTTTGAAATATTTTTTAATTGCTATGAAATATGAATGAATGGTTCCATATATTCTTTATTTGATTTGGATGAATTGATTTGAATTTATGATATATATAAAAAAATTGAAAACTGAAAAACTAAAAAACTGAAAAATTGATAAATTGACATGAATTTAAGATAAATATAAAAAGACTGAAAAAGAAAAAAATATGAAAAAATGACGAATCGAATCAATTGATATGAGTTTATGATATATGAATTTATTTGCTTGCTTTTCCATATTTGATTTTACTAAGTACTAAAATTTATGAATTTGAATTTTATTTCAGAAATAATTCAATAGCTATAGGTCCTAAACATCTATCCGGTGGTAAAAAACGTAAAAAGAGAAAACGAGGAGATGAAGATTGAGAAAGTATCAAGCCGGATAAGAAACGCTTTGGTCATTTATTTATTTTCTTCTAATAATATTACTTTAATTATCATTAATATATAATTAGTTTACATATGTTAATTTGCTAGACTTTATATTTAGGGCCTTTTTTATCTCGGCCCAAGCCGTTGAATTCTCAGGACCGGCCCTGATTCCATATTCAATTATTCATATCATAGCTTTCCAATTTTGTAATTTTTATTTCTTAAATCTTAATTTTCTTTCATTGTTTCATTTTTTAGATTTAAAATCTAGGGTTAATTATTAGTTTTTAATTTGAAATCTTTTCTATTTTCATTCTTTGAAATAGAATGAATTAATGGTTCTATATGTTATTTATTTGATTTGGATGAATTGATTTGAATTTGTTATTTATGATATATTTATATAAAAACTGAAAATCGAAAAAAAATTTAAAATTGATAAATTGACGAATTGATATGAATTTATGATTTATAAAAAATTAAAACTGAAAAAGAAAAAAACGATTAAAAAAAGAAAAATTCACGAATTTATATTAAATTATGATATATTTATTTATTTGCTTGCTTTTTCAGTTTTTAATCTTGATTTTACTAAGTAGTAGAATTTATGAATTTGGATTTTATTTCAGAAATAATTCAATAGCTATGGCTCCTAAACAATTTTACGGTATGTAATTATAATACCATATTTTTTTCATTTATTATTTTCTTCTAATAATATTGTGTTAATTATAATTTAAATATAATTAATTTACATATGTGAATTTGTTATACCATTAAGGATAAGACTTTTAGGGCATTTTTTTCTGTTTCGGCCCAGGCACATGAATCCTCAGGACTGGCCCTGGTGCTTACCCAAACCTAGGGTAGTGATGCTGCTTACCCAGCTGAGCCGCCGTGAAATTGCTTCCGGGCCACTACTACCATTACTGAAAAATCATAAATGCCTTCACCTTAAGGCCTCCGGCGATCCGCCATTAGAGCAACCCTGTCTGCATCTGCTGAAACAATGCTCAAATGCAGTGCATATTCGTCAAGCCCACTGCTACATGGTCGTCCGAGCTCTGGATTACGATAACATTCTTCTGAATAGATTTATTTGTGTTCTCTCCTCCTTAGGGTTATACGACTATGTGTATTGCTCGGCTCTCCTTGCTCCCAGCCCGGACAGGTACCTATTCAACACAGCAATTGATGCCCTCGCTCGCCATCCGCGTTCAACCGGACATGCCGTTATCCTCCACAATAGAGCCCGGAAGCTAGGTTTGAAACTTGATACTTATTCAATTCCTTTTGTGTTGAATGCGGTTGTGATCGATTGTGGATTGAGATTTACGGGCAGACAGATTCACTGTGAGGCTGTTAAAACAGGGCTGAGTTGTGACATCCATGTGGTGGTGTCGCTGGTCCGTATGTACTCTGCAGGTAGGCTTGTCTCGGATGCCCGAAAGGTGTTTGATGAAATGGAGCAACCGGATACGGCCCTGTGGAATGCTATGATGGCGGGCTACGCCAAGGTTGGTGATATGGAAGCTGCAATGTCATTGTTCGAGCACATGTCCAGGAGAAATATTGTTTCTTGGACTACTATTTTAGCTGGATATGCTCAAAGGAACCAGTCTCATGAGGCTATTTCTCTTTTCAGGAGAATGATTGCTGATTCAAATGGAGTCAAGCCTGACGAGGTAGCCATGACGGCTGCCCTTTCGGCTTGTGCAGATTTGGGCAACCTCGAGTTAGGGGAGTGGATTCACAGTTACATTGAGAGACATCGATTGCAAAGAACTATACGTCTTAATAATGCTCTCATTGATATGTATGCTAAATCAGGGAGCATGAACAAGGCTATACAACTTTTTGAGAGTATGACAGAGAAAAATGTGGTAACCTGGTCAACTATGATTTCTGGTTTGGCTACCAATGGCCTTGGAAGCGAAGCTCTTGACCTGTTTTCTCAAATGGAAGGGGCTGGAATTAGGCCCAATGATGTGACTTTAATTGCTGTGCTTTCTGCCTGCAGCCATGCTGGTTACGTTGAATTGGGTTACTGGTACTTCCATACAATGGAAGAAAGGTATGGAATTAGACCCAGCATTAAGCACTATGGCTGTGCCATTGATCTTTTAGGACGTGCTGGTCGTCTTCAAGAGGCTGAAAACCTCTGTCAAAGAATGCCCTTTGAAGCAAATGCAGCTATTTGGGGATCACTTCTTGCTGCATCTAGGAACCAAGGCAATATTGGACTCGGGGAGCGAGCTCTAAAACATCTACTTAAGGTAGAGCCCAATCACAGTGGGAATTATTCACTTCTATCTGGCTTATACGCTTCTCATAGTAGGTGGGCTGAAGCTAGAGAAACACGGGTACTCATGCGGGATATAGGTGTTAAAAAGAATCCAGGTCAGAGCTTGATTCAGGTAGACAATAGAGCTTATGTCTTCAATTCTGAGGATGGATTTCACCCTCAGCTTGAGGGAATTTATACAACTCTGCTACAGTTAAATGGAGAAATGAAGATGCCAAGGCATACCATCAGGGACTATTGGGATCTGCTTGATTATGAGCTCATATAACATGATATCCTCCTCCTAGAATGTGAAAGAAATCAGAGACAGCCCATTGTAAAACACAGTCGATTGAGTGTACGTACTACACTACTACGTGGTTCCACTTATTTGGTGAGCACTGTCTACATCCTACGATTATAGATGTGGAGTAAGAAATTAATATAGAGTAAGTAATATTGCAAATAGGGGAAGGTCACATCCAAAGAAATTGATTCACAAAATGGCATTGCTAAAGCTATGTGGGTTGATACACCACGAAATGATGATAATGAAATTCAGGAGGATAACAACGGAAATCAAGACAATGGAAATGAAAATAATGAGGAACAAAGGGATGAGTAGTATCAAGAGGGTTATGATGATAATGAGGTTGAATGAAGGACTACGCTTTTTTATAATGTTATTTTTTAAATTGTCTTTGCATTTTGGGTAACATGTTCTTTTGGTTGTCTTTACATTTTGATTGATGCATTTTTACATATATAAAAATAATTTGGAGGTAAAAATTATTTTGGTTGCTAAAAATTTTGTCGCTTATGACAATGATCAATATATTATTTTGTGTTAAACTCTTTTGTTTCAAGTCATTATTATTTTTATTTTATACGGAGTAATATTTAATTATTTTAGTACATTTTGCAATCAATTAATGGTGTTGGAACAATCTATAGACATATATATTCTAAACAGATCTTGATAATACAATACATTTAAATCTATCCAAGTCCATGTAGAATTAAAACAATCCTTGGTTATAACAAATATGACATTATCTTTTAAAGTCAGAATTCACAACCCCTAAGTGTTGAAGAGACATTGAAAATGTGTTGATGAAAATGATGTGTTAATGGATTTCATTTTTTTTGGTCACATTTCAGATGCTGATTCTGTGTTTTTTATTCACACTTCATTCAACATAGAAATATTTGGTGTTTTTTTGTTCAATACTAAACCCAAATGTTTTTTGTACTCTAGCTAGATTTGTTTCTTTTGCATGATGTATTCTTCTTTCATAACCCCTCATCTTGTATATTGTTGATAGTCGTGATTGAGATGATTACCTTATTGTACTTAGAAGATTTTCTTTGGGGTGGTGAAGATGGTAGTAAATAAGTGTGTTTATGCTCACATAATGGCAACAAGATTGGTGTAGTTTTCTTTAAGGGATGTGTAAGAACTATGTTTGTGCTTCAAAGAATCCCTTCAAGTATTGAATGCGTTATGTTAATGTTTATAATATCTAGAGCATTCAGACATTTATAAACGGGTCATCCCCTGACATGGGGTTCCAATGTCATGGGAACCCCTCCGATAAAAAAGAGGCCAAATTTATCAACTACTCATGCATATCAATTCAGTAGCTTAAGTATATGATCTGTAATCTATGGGCTATTTCTACACTATTGTATAGTCACACCACTTTTGACATTTTTATTGCCAAATATCTTAATCATGAGTGGTTGAATGGTCTTTTAATGCACATTTAACTGTTATTTGTTAGGTTATAAGAGTCAACACAGAACTTTGAGCTTCATCAAAAGTTCAAGCCGTTAAACTGGTTTTCTCTAGATCTGGAGAGGAACTATCATGTTTGGGACAATGATAAGGTATATGGTGGCGAGGAAGCCGAAGCCAAAGATGAAGCCAATAGAGCTAAAAACCCCGCCGGAGCAGACACAAACTATAACGAGGGTTATTTTTGACATTTTGAAGGAACATGGTCCTCTCACCATTGGTGATACCTGGGAACATGTCAAGGTAATCAATTCCCCCATTTCATTTTCTAAGGTTGTGCAACATGTATTAAGGAAGGAGCAAGGTCTTTAAAATAAAAATAAAGATGGCTTAGTATGATATGAACATGCAAGTATAATACCTTGATTGTTGTCTTAAAGATATACAAAGTATCCTATGATACATTTACAAATTGAGAAGATCAAATGCGAGAAATTGGCAATTGTTAGTTTTGCTCTAATTATTTGAATCCAATCCATATGAACTGAATTAGCATGCCATGCTCGGAGACAGCCCCTTTTCGTATCATAACAATCTATCATTCATATCAGATTTCAAATCTCTCCAAATATTTTCCTTTCATATTTCAAAACTAGTATCATTTCTTCTAGATTTCAAATCCCATAACATATCAATCTTGTTTTGCTCGACAAACGGGCCTTTAGATTCTTATGTTTACCCATACGAACATGTTGCTTAGGCAATCACTTGACGGGTTTCTTGTTTGGTTTGCAAAATACAGGAAGTTGGAGTGAGAGGGTTAACGAGCAAAAGGCACATGAAGGTAGTGTTAAGATGGATGCGGGATAGGCAGAAGCTTAAGCTTATATGCAATCACATAGGTCCAAACAAGCAATTTCTGTATTCCACCTGGTTCACTAAACATAAACCGGATGCTAAACCAGCACAACCGGGAAGAGGACACTTCACAAGGAAAGTTACCCGTCTTCCTCAAAATCTAAATCCTTAGGTTCTTATCTGTACCGAGTGCTAAACAGATACTCCTCAGTTTCAGATGCCATTAAAACACTGTGCCCTTGAATGTAGGGAATCCCTTGTCCCAAACATGGTGTCCCATCGTTCGAGTGCAAAAATGTGGTCTTATGTCATTGTTGTGTTATGTGGGAGTATTCGAGAGATATTTCTGCGTCAACATTGTCATATTCGTCTCAATGTATGTTTTCCGGCTTTGTATAATAAAGAAGAGTTATTTTCTTGCAATGTTATTTATGTCTTCTTCTTCTTAATGTGCTTGGTTTTGTTTTCTACTTGATCAGGTGCTGGTTTTCTTTTCTTCTGAATTTTTCTCTTTGATTGTAAACTTGCGACTTCTGATTCTACGTACGGAGTATGTTTTATTGACCTTTTTTTTAGATCTAATTATTGATATATGATTTTTGAAATAATTATTACTCGGTAATACTCCATATAAGTTTTGAAAAAAAATTGCAGAATGTATTCTCTCTTTAAAATGTATTTCAAATAAAAAAAATCAATGAATGTTTACATCTATAAGGCTATGTGGTATGAGGGTGACCGTGACCGGGGTTGACACTGTGCCGGTTGGGCGTGACCCCAATGGGGTGACCACGGCCACCGAGTGAAGAGGGGGAGAATTTGTTTTTCTTTTTTAAATTTTAACCAATTAAAATTTAACAAAACTCGTACTCATCACTTCCCATCACCCCGGCCTCCTCCTACCACATAGTCTAACCATGATCTCAAGTCACTTACACTCTAAGTTTGGTTGAAAGAATTTGAAAGGAAACAACAACAACAACAACCCAGGTGAATCCCACAACAGTAGGGTCTGGGGAGGGTGTGTGTACGCAGACCTTGCCCCTACTCGGAAGTAGGGAGGCTGTTTCCAAGGAATTTGAAAGGAAAAAGAAAAAAAATGAAGTGGAATACAGTTTTTTTGTTTGGTTAGAGAAGATTAGAAAGGAAGAGGAGAAGAAAAAGAAGATATGATTATATGAAGGCAAATGTACTTCTTTGGTAGACTTTGGATACATATCAATTTTGCAGACTTTCTCACATACAAAATCTTTTTTTTTATTTTTTTAATTTAAAAAACAAATGTTTATTTAAATAATAAAAAATACGTATTTTGTTCATATGTAAGTCCATGGACCATGGTAGACTTTAGATCCTTATAGAGTTTTTCATTTTGCAAAAGTGAAAACAACATATATATGCAGATGGGGTGTTTGACTCCAAGACTGATATTGAGATTGGGGAGTACTAGTCTTCGGCGGAAAAGTCAAATTGATAAATATAGAAAGAGAGACTTATTGCAGAAATTAACTTTACCCTCATATCATATTTGTTTAATTTAATTTTTCTTAGTTAAATTGAATAAACTTTGATTATCAACTAAATGAAAACTGTGTTATATATTAATACGATAATGATCTAGTTATGTCTATGCGGTAAAAAACTTTCAAAATAATAGAGTATCTCATTATATTTTCTCCGTCCCAAAAAAACTCTTAATTTCTTTTTAGACGCCCCTAAAAAAGTAATTCTTTTCTTTTTTTGGAAAATTTTAAGTTGTTCACAATCTTTCTCTATCTTCTGCATCACTTGCAACCATACATTTTCACTTTTTCTTAAACTCTTTGTCAAGATAAATTATTAGTCTTTTTTGGGACATATGGAGTATGCATTCAGTGTTTATTTTAACTAATGATTGAAATTTGTCACTATAACTAAAAAAATCAAATTTGACGACACCACTTAGACTCTGTTCTTTTCAGTAACTCCTAACATTCAACATTTTTCAGCTCTTTCTAAGTTCTTCCAGCTCCTTCTAGTTTCTTCCAACAATTTTAACTTTTTTCTAATTTCTTCCAGTTCTTTCGAACTTTTTCCAGTTTCTTACAACTCTTTCCAGTTTTTCTAGATCTTTCCAATTTCTTCCAACAATGATTTAAAAAATTATTTAAGTTTATTTTTATATGTTATTATTATCTCAATAAAATAAAAAAAATTATATTATCGTAATAGTTTATTAAAAAATTGTGTCATGAATATAAAATTTAGTTACCATTATAGAGTCATGCAAGTTATCAAAATTTTGAATTAATTAATTTATAATTTTCTTTGTGATTTTGAAATTTTCGTTAACTAAATTTCTTTGAAACGTGTTCTTGTCAATTTTTCAAAATTTTGACCAAAATATAATAATTGTGCACTCTATTTTCTTTCATTAAGCATTACAATGTATACACTAATACTTTTAATGTGCAAGTTCTAAACAAATGCAAAAAATAAATGTACAATTAATGTTGTTCATTTTTTAAATGTAAATATGTCGGATGTATAATAAAAACTACCTTTGTTGCATAAAAATTCTCTATTTGACTTTTTTAAAATAAAACAAGTTTAAAAAAGTAAAAAAATTGTTCTACTCCCTCCGTTCCACAAAACCCTTCCGGTTTTGACTTTGGGGGAAAATAAGGAAAGTGTAATTTTGGTTGACTTTCCAATTTTGCCCCTAATGTGATGGGAAAAAGTAAGATGTGATAGTTTGGTTATTAGTGAAAAAGTATGATGTGATAGGTAGGATATGAAAAAGTAGGGGTAAAAGTGGTTTTTTAATAGAAAGTGGAAGTGTTTTGTGAAAAGCAAAAAAAACGAAAGAGGAAGGGTTTTATGGAA